TTTCTGCTGATATTTAAGTCCTCAATTCTCTTTTGTTCTCTAGGGTGGAGGGCAGGACCTGGTACACATCTCATAGAGGGCGGTTATGGATTGCAGCTACTGCTAAAAGACCTTCCCCTCAGGAAATCTCTGAGCTAGAGGCCACCTACAGAATGCTGCTCCGGAAAGGTGAACTTCTCTCCTTGAATCTTTATATTATTTGGTACATTGAGCCACGTAATGAGCAGTGTCAGAAAGCCCTCTCTGCTGAGTAGTTATTACTGCTTCGCTTTTTAACCTTCTGTTCTTGAAATTCTCTTCATCCTTTCTGCGTTTCATCAGCTGAATGAGGATGGTGGCAGATTTCAACTCCGTCCTTTAGCTGGTCAGGTACTCTGAGCAGGAACACCAACAAATTGCACCTGACTTCTCTGATAGCTTGTGACAGCAAAGGACTTGATTTTATTTTTGGCTCAAGCAACAAGCTATCGAGCGTGTGCTCACGTGCATATGAAGTGGCTTGTGCTTCAGTCTGTTTACGGGGATGTTAAAAGCTTTTCATGTGTTCTGACCTTGCGGAAATCAGGACTGCGAAGCTGCAGGTTATCGGGAAGATGTTATTCTCTCGTGTGAGTAGGAGGATGCTGGTGGCTGCACTGCATGGCTGTTTCTGCACGTCACCCAATTTAAATGTCACACAGCAGGGTTGCCTGCTCCCTCATCAGAGCCAGGAGCTCTTCCTGCTCTATATGTTCTTCTGTCACAAGCTAAGCAGGGAGAGGTGTATTTATAATTAAATCTCCCAACTTTAGTCCTGTCATGAAGATCTTGAGCTGAAAAAGAAAAAAAAGAACAACAGAGTGTTAAAATTACTGTGTATTTGTCATGCCTTAAAAAGCAGAAGTGCATGGTGGGAGGAAAAGGCACCTGGGGGTTAGAAGAGCCCAGCTCTGTGTGTTTGTGGATGTGGGTCCCCTGAAGAGATATTTCTTTTGATGCAGATGTGGAATTTCCAAGCGATTATCCCTCAGGGTGCCTCCTAGGCTGTGTAGATGTGACTGACTGTTTATCGCAAGAGCAATTTAATGAGCAGGTGAGTACAGCAAATAAAACTTTACAAGCCAGCAAACTTTTAAAATAGTGTATCTCACCTCTGTGAGATGCTCTAGAGAAGACATTTGGGCTGAGATGAGTGAAGAGACGACTGCCACGTGATCTTGTATAGCTGGAAAGAGAATGTACCAAGAAAAAATATTTCAGTGATGGTGGAAGGGAGTTGTGGACTCATACAGACTAAACCCATCGTCAGCTTCTCTGGCAGTAAGGTAGTTTAATTGAAACTAGTTTCTCACATACTCGTGAAACTCTTTTCAATAAGGACTCACGCCTGTTTAATTAAACCAACACTAGCTTCAGAGACCGTGCCGAAAGGGCTTGTGACAGCCGGTGCTTCCCTTGCTGTGTAGGCAGTTGTGCACCAGGACGCTGTGGCTGTGCTGGACTGTGAAAGACAGGAACCTGCAATGCTTTAATGTTGCATTTCTGGTTTTCAACCTCATTTGGCAAACTCGGGAGCTTACATCTTACCTGGATGTGGCTCCTAAAGTGCTGATTGTTTCTTTTGAAAGTTAATGGGGTCCTAATAGAATCATAGAATCATTTAGGTTGGAGAAGATCTCTAAGGTCATCAAATCCAACTGAAAACCCAACACTGCCAAGTCCCTGACTAAACCATGTCCCTCAGCACCACTTCTACACGTCTTTTAAATACCTACAGGGATAGTGACTCAGCCACTTCCCTGGGCAGCTTGTTCCAATGCTTGACAACCTTTTTGGTGAAGAAATTTTTCCTAATATCCAATCTCAACCTGCCCTGGAGCAACTTGAGGCTATGAAGAGCTAGAGAGTTAAGAGAAAGAGGCAGTTTGAGGGGATTAATTTCTCTTTTCTTACCCTGTCAGCCAGCAATTTTTTGCTACCTCTGGGTATAACTATGCTGATCTTCCCATCTCAAGAAGGACTCTGGATTAGGAAGGGTCAAGTAGCTGTTTGGTTGTTTTTGGAGCGCAACCAGCAGAGACTTTGCAGTTATTGGAGGGATTTGTGTGGCAGGGGACATGAAGGGGCCTGGAAACTATTCAAGACAGTGTGGAAACATGCAAAACTTCGCAAGAGTGGTGGTGATGTGCTATGGGACCTTGTCCCTGGCCCTGTGATGCTGCCAAGATCCACTACCTTCGTATAAGAGAGTAGCTTGGCCCAAGCAGAGGCATCTAGGTCCATAGCTAGACATGGAGCTGGAAGTGACAGTGGCCTCACTGGTGAGAGTTGTGCTCTGGTTGGGGCACTGAATCACCAGGAGAAGGAGCTGTGGGAGGAGGTAGCACCCTCCCACCAGGGAGGAAGGACAGGAGAGCCGCAGGGTCTTCGTGGAGACCCTGCAGAGAGGACATCCAGAGCCCCTAGATATAGGGAAGGAGGGACAGCTGGAGATTAGAGTGGATCAAGACTCCCAGAGGAGTGTCCTGTTTCTGAATGAGGCAGGTGATTTGGTGACCAAGGACACAGGTAAGTTTGAGGTACTGAGGCCTTCTGCACCTCAGGCTTCACCAGCAAGATCTCCCAGAGGTCTCTTGCTTGGAGGCAGAGTTCAAGGAGGAGGGAGACTACCCATAGTGTAGGTTGAATCAGGAGTCTTTTGAGAAATCTCAACCGATACAAGTCCATGGGTGGTGATGGTGTGCATCCAAATGTGCTGCGAGTGTTGGCACATGTCTTTGTGAGGCCACTCTTACCTTGGAAAGGTTATGGAGAACAGAAGAGGACCCTGATAAGCGTAGCAAGGTGACCATTACATTCATCTTTAAAAAGGGAAGGAAGGGTGATCCCCATGAGGACTGCCCAGCACTGGAGCAGACACTGCTCAGAGAGGTTGTGCAGTCTCCACCCATGAAGATTTTCAAGACCTGACAGGACAGAGCTGTGAGCAACCTCACCTGAATTCAGGGTTGACCTTGCTTTGACCAGGAGGTTGGACTAGAGACCTCCTGAGATCTAAGACTGACTCTATGCCTAAAATCAGGAGCAGCAGCAGCTTTCCACAGGGTGGGTTTTATGAACTTTCAAAGGCTGCATTTAGTACCAAGCCCAGCATGGCTGTTCCCAATACCGTTCCATGTCTAATCACTCCTGTCCCTTGTACAAGTCAGTTATGGTCTGATGGGAACCACCAGACCATGTAGGGCTTGATAGCAAACCAAGACCATCTTGTGAGATGAAGTAAATGGATTCCTTGGAACGAAGGAGGAGGACACACCAGGCTGATGGGCATCTTTGCGATGAAGAATTGGAGAGGCATCGGCAGCTGAGGGCTGTTTCTCATGAAATGCTCTTCTGGCTTTCCCAAAATCTGTCAGGTTTTTTATCCTGGAAACTAGGGATGAAAAGAATATTTCTGATGAGATTGTGTCTCGTAGTTGTGGGTGGAAGGGGGAGAGGTTGGAGTATGAGCAGCAGAGGGAGCTTTGGGACTGGAATACAACAGAATCTGCAGGAGCAGGGAGCAAGCCTTGGGGGAGAGAAGAGGAAAGGACACAGAGGCCAGTGGAAGATTTTCATCCCTATCTTCCGCTGATTTGCAGTTTGGTCTTAACTGGAGATTCTTGTCCTTCTTCTGCTGTCTGTAAAATGGTGGGAATATACGTCCTGGTTTTTCACAAGTACTTTTCTCTTCCTAACAATTCCTCCTCTTTGTGGATATGTTCTTCAGGCATTGGTAAAATGGCCGTGACAGCTTCTTATGATCTGGAAATCGAGCTGTAAGTAACTGGTTCTTCATCTTCCCATAGAGGAGCCTCACAATTACCCATGTTCTCTGTAAATTCCTCCCAGTTTGCTGGCACTGCTTGGCCGCAGAGGCACTGGGGGGGGACTCATGTATTCCAAGGGCACTGTTCCCAGATCTGTCGGTGAGAGATTTACCTCTCTTCTCAATGCCACGATGCCATGGCACTTTATATTTCCCTGCCTTTTTGCTACTCCCAGATTGCAAATTATTTGAAATTCCTAATTTATTGCCTTTTTACAATGGATTCATCCATTTTTTTCCCCAGGATCGCTTTAGGCAGCATTCGTTTCCCTAGCTTGTAAGATTGAATTCAGCAATCTGAGCATAATTCTGAAGCTGGTTTTTGAGGAAATGTACATTTTTGTGCATGTGCATCTGAAGGAAGCTGAGATTAATTTAATTGTGAATGCTAGCAAGATAAAAAGTGTGCAGCACCAGCTCAGAAATCCGAGTCAGATCTCGCTGGGAGTCGGAAATCCCTCTTGCTCACGCTGATGATTCAGTCCAGGTTCATCAGCAACCAGCACCGAAACCACTTGTCAGCAGTGTCATCCAGCCATTTCTTGGTGTAGGAAGTGTCCTCCTCGCTTCAGGGGGAGCGGGAAAATAAGATGATGTGTTTTCACCGCTTAGGGCATGCAAAAACCATGGAATATTTTCTGAAAATCCATGGTGTATTGGCAAGTAAGGTGATTTGATGCAGCAGCAGAGACCTCTGGGAGGTTAAGCCGCCACAGAGCTCTTTTTCAGGCACTGTGCTTTGACTCACACCTCTCCTCCTCACTGACTCTTATTTGATGTTTCTGCATTTTCTGGAAGAAATCATTTCACAAGTGCAGGGCAAGCTGTGGTTGCAAATTATACCCACCACCCAAAGATGAAATAGCTCCCTGTCTTGCTCATTGTCTTTTGATGGTGGCCCTGCCTTTTTCAGCAGCTGCAGAATTTTGTTTGGACTCTTGCGACCATTTGTTCCCATAGGCAAGGGAGACTCTTCCTGGTCTGTCCCTACTGCGACTTTTCCATTATTTCTCTGTCCTTTTGATGCTGTCATCCTCTCCCTATTTAGTACCGTCTGCAGATTTAATTTCCTTGCTCTTCGCATCCTCTCTCAGGTTGCTAATGAAGAGGTTAGTGGCACACTGCTGGTATTTTTCTATCATTATCTTCATAAATTTTTGTTTTTTACACTCAAAGTAACAATACCCCGTTTCGCTGGATGCTGCACCAGCAGATTCAGACCAAGTCCCTGCCCCGAGAGGTTGCATTATTATTAGGACTGGTTATTTATCCGCATTATTACCTGATGTGTATGCCTGGCCTTGCGTAACCCCTTCAGAGGGGTCAGTCTTGCAGCTCTGCCCTACGTACGATATTTGAAGACCGACTGACGTCGCCAAAGTGATTTGCAGATCGACAGGGCCGCATGAGAAGCAATGACAGAACAGGATTTTGCATCCAGTTGCTGGCAGGGAGCAGAGGAAGAGCAAAGCAGAGACGTCCTTGTGATTAAAATCAGCCTCACGTCAGATGACATTGTCCTAATCCCAGTTGTGCTACTTAGTGCATGAACTAGTTAAATCCATTCCTCTGGGTCTCTTTCCCACGTGGAAAATAAAGCCGTGCTTCCCTGTCGGAAGTTATATACCCCTAATTTTACTGCTCAAAACTGTGATCTTTGGATCGAAGCTGCTCCAGGAGTAGAAGTTATTATCAGGTAGGAAAGTCCACCCTGGGTATCAAGTGTTACCCCCTTTCTTTGCCGGGGACTGAAGCAAAAGCCACGTTCTGCACTCAGCCCTGGTGCTGACGGTGGGTGCTTGGCCAGTGCCCGGAGCTCCCTCAGTATTTAAATCTCAGTATTTCCAGTTGAGCTTTGCACATCTTACACCTCCTCGGAGCGCGTTCTGGCCTCATTTCCTTCTCTTCATGGCAACCGCCCAAAAAACCTCGGTTTAGACCAGAATGATCCCTTTGTTAAGCTTTTCAGCGCTAAAGGTGACCTGGAAACTTTTTTTTTTCCCCCATTGAGACCTGAGCATTGATGACGGCTTTTCCTTACTCCTGACCTGACGTCACCGACACCCTGAGCAGAGCAAGGAGCTGAGTTTCTTTTCCTGTGTGAGGTGTCGGTGACTTCAGCAGCATTTGTTGGGGAAACATGGGATGGTGCAGGCAGGGCTTGGCAAGAGTCAAAAGCGAGGAGGGAACTATTTATATTTATGCCTTTTTAATGTGCTCTGAAG